TCTGTTCATGCCCTGCATGCAGGAAGACCCTGGAGGAAAATCTGGGTTAATGAATCAGAAGAGAGGCATTTCTCCTCTTTAGAGTGAGCAGGTAGTATTTCCAGTCCCACCCACACATACTCCAGGGGAATGAATAGCTTACATTTAGGTAAAACTGATAGTAGATGCTGGGCTTGTGCAACAGGGCCCTCCTGCTCTGATCAAGCTCTTTTCTTTTTCAAGGGGGTGCCTCAGGGTATCCCGAGCTTTCCCAGGATGCAGAAGCCTGATACCAGAAGGCAGTACACCTCCCAACAGAATAGAAGCTGCTCCTCTTGGAGGTCACCTCCTCACGGAAATAGGAATCTGTTCACAAGCAGGATGCTCTCAAAAACACTGCACTTCTGGGCTTATGAAAGACAGGTTCGGGAGAACAGCATGCTGGCGAATTAATAGTATTTGCTAAGTTATTTATGCTGACCCTAATTCTACTCAAGAGCTAGGGTAGAAAACCCTGCGAAGATCATTGTGTCCACCTTTTGTTTCTAGATGTGAGTTTGAAAATGTTTTCTTTCCTTACTAGAGTTCATCCACTCAAACCACTCATTCATCATCTTAGGTTGTTATCCTCTCCTCTCTGCTTTCATAGTGGGGAGGCTCTGGAAGTGATTAAGCTATTGTAAATCAGCTTTTGTGATTTGTATGTCAGAGATAAGCAGCAGAGTAAGCAAACGATTGGAGGGCCCAACTGCTATTGCCTTGACAGTTATCCCAGGAATAAAATCGAAACAGAAAATTACTGGAGTTTATGATATTTGGCAGATTAATTTCTTTATAGGCATATCCAATGTTAAAATTTGACCCTTTAACAAACATTGCTTTATTTTTATTTATTTATTTACTTGTTTATTTTTTTGGAGACAGGGACTCGCTCTGTTGCCCAGGCTGTAGTACAGTTGCACGATCTCGGCTCACTGCAGCCTCGACCTCCTGGGCTCAGGTGATACTCCCACCTCAGTCTCCTGAGTAGCTGGGACTGCAGGCATGCACCACCACGCCCAGCTAATTTTTGTATTTCTAGTAGAGATAGGGTTTCACCATGTTGCCCAGGTTTTTCTCCAACTCCTGAGCTCAAAACAAACCATCCTCCTTGGCCTCCCAAAGTGCTGGGATTACAGGCATGAGCCACCACACCTGGCCAAACGTTGCTTTACTTTTACTCCATTTTATTGAGATATAACTTACACAAAATAAAGCAAACAAATATTAAAACTACACCTCAGTGAATTTTTACACGTGTATTGTTTTACAATCACCATCCAGACTTAGCTATAGTACAATTGCAGTGCCCTAGCAGCCTTCTTCATACCCCCTCCCACTGCCCTGACCTGTATCACTATAGATAGCCTCAGCCTGTTCTTGAACTTCATATAAACAGAATCATACGGCACATATTCTTTTTGCATGTCCAAGCATTTTCTATGAGATACATCCATGTTCTTGGGTGTAGTTATTCGTTCTCATTATTGTGTAATATTCCATCATATCAGGGTTTCTCAATAGTGAGACTATTGACTGTTTGGTTTGGAAAATTCTGTATGGGGGCAAGGAAGCCATCCTGCACAATGTAGGATGTTTAGCAACATCTCCGGCCTCTACCTACTAGATGCCCGTAGAATCCCATCCTAATAGTGACAACCAAAAATGTGTCCAGATGTTTCCAAATTTCCTTCAGAATTAAAAACCATCATATCACATGCATATATTCCAATGTTAAAGAAACTTTTTATTTGGAAATAATTTCAGACTTATAAAAAAGTTACAAAAATAGAACAAACAACACCTATAATGTACTCTTTACGTAGATTGATCCATTGTTAACCTTTTGCCACATTTGTTCTTTCATGTTCACATGCATGCACACACGCACACACACACACATGCACACATTTTATTTATAAACCATTTGAGAGCAAATTGCATCCATCTGGGCCATTTACTGCCATATCCTTCCATACATATTTCCCAAGAATAAAGATCTCCCACATTATCACCATTATTCATTGACCACAGTAAACTTAGCATAATACTTCTATCTATTGCCCGTGTTACTTTTTTTTTTTCAGCTGACCAAAAATTATCCTTTATAGCAGCAGTCCCCAACCTTTTTGGCACCAGGGACCAGTTTTGTGGAAGACAATTTTTCTACAGACTGGGGTCAGGGGGTGGGGATGGCTTTGGGATGGTTCAAGTGTATTATATTTATTGTGCACTTTATTTCTATTATTATTACATTGTAATATATAATGAAATAATTACACAACTCACTATAATGTAGAATCAGTGGGAAACCTGGGCTTGTTTTCCTGCAACTGGACATTCCCATCTAGGAGTGATGGGGGACAATTATGGATCATCAGGCATGAGATTCTCATAAGGAGCACACAAACCTAGATCCTGCATGAGCAGCTCACCATAGGGTTTACGCTCCTATGAGAATCTAATGCTGCTGCTGATCTGTCAGGAGGCAGAGGTCAGGCGGTAATTGGAGCAATGGGGAGTGGCTGTACATACAGATGAAGCTTCCCTTACGGGCCACTCACCTCCTGCTGTGTGGCCTGGTTCCTAACGGGTCTATAGCCTGGGGTCTGGGAACCCCTGCTTTATAGCATTTATTTTCCCTACTGAGCAGGTTCCAGTCCAGGATCAGGTATTACATGTAATTGCCATGTTTCCTTTGTACCCTTTAATCTAGAACATTCTCTCAGCCTTGGCTGGTCTTAAGACTACAGTCCCTTTTTTCATAACAAATGTCCCTCCTTTTTGGGATCTGTCTAATGTTTCCTCCTGAATACATTCAGGAAATACATTCTTGTATGGAATTTCTATATTCCATACAAGAATACTATATAAACGATAGTGTGCCATTCTCAGTACATCTCAACTGGAGGCATACAGGGTGCAGTTTCATCTCACCAGGGATGTTAAGTTTGAACTTCAGGTCAAGGTGTTGTCTGATTTTACCGTTGTTTAGTTACTAATTCTTCCCTTGCAACTAATAGGCAGTGTGTAGGGAAACACTTTAAAACAATGCTCTCTCCCATCAAATTTTACCCCCTATATGTAGCACACTTTTTGATTCTTGTGTGAAGCACTCTACCTCCAATGGTTATAAAATGATTTTCGAAATCTAGCACCCCCTTCCTCCTTGTGAACTTACTCTACTGACAGCGGTTGGCATTCCACTATACATAGAGCCTTCTCTTTTCCCCCATTTATTTTTATTTATTTATTTATTTATTTATTTATTTATGTTTTTATTTATCTGTTATCAGTATGGACTTGTAAATTCCTATTTGTTTCAGTGGTTTATAAATCATTACTTCCCTTAAATATTTTAATGCTCAAATTGTTCAGATTTGGCCAGTGGGGGCCCCTTCAAGATAGGCCTTGTGTTCTTCTGATAAATCCCCACCATATCTTATTTTTAATACTTTCCTACTTTATGGCATAACAAGATCCTGGTTCTTTTAATTTCCTTGCCTTTATCCTGGTATTGGCCATTTTTCTGAAGAGATTGGATTCCTTTTAGTGGGGAATGGTAGAAAAGACCACAATATATTTATCCATTTTCCTGATAATTGACATTTGAGTTGTTTCCATTTCTGGGCTATTACAAGAAAGCTTCTCTGAATACCCTTGTCCATTTCTTGGACCTTCTTACTAACTTCTGTTTACTCTATAACCAAGAGCAAAGATGGAGAATTGTGGAGTTTCTACTCTTGGTCATACACCCAACAGAAATTCATAAGTCCACAAAAAATGGGCAAGGATATTCAGAGCAGCTTTATTCATAATTCATATATGTGTATGTGTATTTAGCTTTAGTAAATATTGCCAAGTAATTTTGCAAAGTGCTCATAACACTGTTTTAGGTTTTGTCACAGAAGAGGAAGCCAGAGGCCTCGGTAGAAGACAGGAATAATCAGTGGCAGGGGAGATAATGGGCCATTGCAATCCAAAGGCATGTTGTCTATGACCAGAAATGGCAAATTGCTGATCCTTGCAACATATAATGAGTGGAAAATGCTGAGACTTTGCCACCTGGCCCATTCTTAAACATCTCCTGAGAGAGCTCTGCTTGAAGATGAGCAAAATGGAAGTTACTGGAGTCAGTATCTCCCACCACCTTCAAAATGGTTTTCATCTGAGGGATGCCAGGAGCTCATTTGACAGCACTTAGGAAATGGAGGTCCATTGCTGGGGCACGTGCTGTTAGAGAGCATCAGACCCACTGCTTTACTTTTAAAAGTCCCTACCCATGCGACAGAGAGGTCCCCTGGGGTCCCACCCACATCTTCTGGCTGCTAGGGACCCATTTACAACCTTGGAGCATTCACTGAATGGTCTGAGAGAGTAAATATTTCTCTATCTATACCTAGGGAGTCACTTAGTGTCCAAGACACTTTTGATAGGGAGCCACCTGCCACTAAGGGCAGCAGGCAAAACAGGAAACTGCTGCAGGCCAACAGAGAAGTGAACTGGCCCAGTATTGTGGAACCAGTGTTCAGTGTTGCCAGAAACAGCTTGGGCATGATCCAGCTTCTATAGCTTAAAGTTTCCTCATCCAAAATATCTGTCCTACAGAGCTTATAGTGCATCATTAGACTCAAAAATGTAATTAAAGTACTTTGCGAAGTGAAACTTCATATAGAGGAAGCATCATGCATAAGATACACAGTGGGCTCTTAGTAACTTTGATGAGCCTTTGGAATAACTAGCAACTGGTAAAATACATCTCTGGATGCATTTTAAGCAAGTGCCCCGTCTAGGTAGATAGTGACCTGCTGTGAAGTGGGGAGAACCCTCTCACGGGGCACATGTGCCCCCTGAGAGGATCTTTGTGCAGTACACAAGTGCACAACGGTATGTAATGACCCTATATAGATAACCAGCGGAGACAGTGATCCTATCGCTGCACATCTGTATTAATCTCTGTGGTCCCCTCTTCTCTCCCCCAGGCCTCTCTGCTGATGGTGGTGCCAAGCGCCAGGAGCACCTATCCCGATTTTCCATGCCTGACCTCAGCAAAGACTCTGGAATGAATGTGTCTGAGAAGCTGAGCAACATGGGCACTCTTAACTCGTCCATGCAGTTCCGGAGCGCAGAGTCGGTTCGCAGCCTGCTCTCCGCCCAGCAGTACCAGGAGATGGAGGGAAACCTCCACCAGCTCAGCAACCCCATTGGCTACAGAGACCTGCAGTCCCACGGAAGGATGCATCAGAGCTTTGATTTTGATGGAGGGATGGCGGGCAGCAAGCTGCCAGGGCAGGAGGGTGTGAGGATCCAGCCCATGAGCGAACGCACCCGGAGAAGAGCTACTTCGCGTGACGACAACCGCCGCTTCCGACCTCACAGGTCCAGGCGTTCCCGACGCTCTCGCTCCGACAACGCCCTCCACCTGGCCAGCGAACGCGAGGCCATCTCTCGGTTGAAAGATAGGCCACCTCTGAGAGCCAGGGAGGACTATGACCAATTCATGCGCCAGCGGAGCTTCCAGGAGAGCATGGGGCATGGGTCCCGGAGGGACCTGTACGGCCAGTGCCCTAGGACTGTGTCGGACCTGGCTTTGCAGAATGCCTTTGGGGACCGATGGGGACCCTACTTCGCGGAGTATGATTGGTGTTCCACCTGCTCCTCCTCTTCAGAGTCTGACAACGAGGGCTATTTCCTAGGAGAACCCATCCCCCAGCCAGCGCGCCTGCGATACGTCACGAGCGATGAGCTACTGCACAAATACAGCTCCTACGGCCTCCCCAAATCTTCCACCTTAGGTGGCAGAGGACAGTTGCACAGCAGGAAAAGACAGAAGAGCAAAAACTGTATCATTTCTTAATATGATTAGGATCAGGGAATGGGAGAAGATGGGAGCTAAGAATGTAAATTCAGAAACTTGCACTGTTTTAAATGTTAAAGCGCTTTTAGGGGTGGCTTATGGGGGAGAAAAGGGAAAATGCTGTCAGTAGATGGAGGCAAGGTTACAGATTGACTCAATAGGTAGTCACAGTTCTTGGCATGTTGAATATTATTTGCACATTTCACTTTGGAAACACAGTAGACTCTATTGAGGCCAGGGTTGGTCACTTCCTTCCCATCAGTTCTGTGTTGAGTTGCCATCTCGCAAGATGGCAAATTGTTTCCTGCTCGCTTTTATCCTCTCTGGTTCTCTTACTTTTAGGACCCTTTTTTCAGTAAGTAATTTGTTTATTAGCCAGGACCCAAGACTAAGTTATTTACATGTCCATTGTAAATGCAATGTAAATGAGAGTTCTGATAAAATATTTTTGTATTTTGTAATATCAAAGGAATTTCTATATCGTAGGACTCAGTGGGGACTTGCATGCACATCCACCATTGTCTTTGAGTAGTATTAAAAGGTGGCCCCGTACCACCTTTTTTTTTTTTTTTTCTATACAAATTTGTTACATGTCAGTGAGACCTTTTTCAAAGGAATATATTCAATTTGGCTTTTTGTGGCTGAAAAAAAATAACTATTAGACCCAAAGCATTTTATGCTCCATTCCATCTTAAGGAGCCATCCTTAAGTCTGCTCCCACCCTCAGTAGAATTTATTTTCTACAAAGTGGTAGTAATTTTTTTTAAATTGCAAATGTAATTTTTGCCAATTAGAGAAACCAACCAGTGTCAGTAAAATTCTGTGAGAAATGCCATCCCTGCTGGGAATGTTGAAGTTACTTAATGTTGATCTATCCCTTGGGGAAAGTGAAAGTGACTGTGAGTGGTGCTGTTGTGTGATGTCAGCATGACGTTGTTTTGAATGTGGCATTATGTTCTGGTGCTCATGTTTCCTGGATTGTATTATCTGCTTTCCTTTACCAAGGCAGACAGAGCTGCTGCCTTAGCCTGACAACCGGTTGTCCTCAAAGCAAATGAACTTAAGTATTTGGGGTTGAGGGACAGAAGGATTCTGAGGGGGCTCTGGGAGGGACGGTGTGTGACATGTCATGCCTGGAGAAGGAACAAGGCTATTTGAAAACAGAAAGCAGGTCAAGGGTAGAAGTTAAAGGAGAATCTGAAGGCAGGTCAGGGAAAAGAAGAACTGGAAATGAAACAGAGGACAGGTGACAACCACGTCTCGAAGAGCTCCCAGAGATTGTAGAAAGAATCCAGTGTAACCAGCACAGTAACCAAAGTATCTGGGTTACTCAGGAAGGTTGAGCTACTGAGATTTCAGTGGTGCAGTGACTTTAAAAAACAGGCTATGTCAGGAGGGGATTTCAATTTTGAACTTTGAGGACTGTTGGTCAGAAATTGGGCTCAAAAGTGAGTTTGCTTAATGAAGACATTTAACGGTTGTGCTGTTTATAGTAAAATAAAACTCCCTACCTTGCTTCAGTTAAAAATGAAGCGCTTGGTTTCTTCCATCCTCCTCCTCCCCTTAATGGATTGTGGCAGTTGAAATAATCCATCGGAGGACCCACCTGTAGTGAGATGTACTGTCAGTGTAGTGCCCGGTGTATCACAGTGGCCATCTGCCATGGTGAGGTGAGCGTGATCTCTTTTCAGTATAGTAGTAAACATTTTCTAGTATTTTTTATGGAGAGAATGTCAAAAGCAGTATTTCAGACCCCGTCCCAGATGGGTCTGAGGAAAGGAAGGCTGTAAAGGACATGGTAATGGCACTCCATTCGGGATGTATTAAAATAATTTGCTTTTCAGGTATTAATATGACATTTGTCATTGTCACTGATTTTTTTAAAAAAGCAATGCACATGTTGGTTGTGGCTGTTTTCCGCATGCTATCTTCATATCTAAATGCTTCATTAATTATCCGAGCCTCCGGAGAATTAACTCTATTACGTTTGTATAGTAAGTTTGTAAACTGCTTGGCAAACTGATTAAGAAATAATTTGCAACACCGTGCTACTAAAGTGGCAGGTTTCTGGTAGAAATTGTGCGGGTCCAATTTGGAGTTTTAAGTTCCTTGATTGATGAAACTAAAAAGGTAATTTTGGAAAAAGAAAAGAGAAGGGGAAAAGTAGATCACTTATCTTAGCAAACAGTTAAAAATATGTCTGTCCTCTGTGGCCCCAAATCCAGTGAAGGAAATTCTCCCAGTAAAAGTTGCTTCCTAACTCTGTTTTTCTCAGAATACCTCTTACATTTCTCAAAGAAAGCTTCAACCACCATCAGCAGAAAGAAGGTGGCCTAAAAACTGACACATGGCCAGTGCCCAGAGGGGTCTGGAGGCATAAGTCTAGATGCCCAGAGAGCATCCAGGGACTGAACTGCTCAAAGCTTGAGATGAAATGACATACAAGCTTCAGGGTAAAACTGTCTACTAGCAAGATTACCTCCCTCTATTCTACCATTGCAGATTTCTTCTTACCCCAAATGCAACCTTACAGAGAATGCTGAATGCGGAAGGCCAGTTCCTTACGATGATGGCAGAACCTCCAAGTGAATGCCCTGTTGAGGAAAAGGACATCATTGTATTTGGAATTCCACCTGCTAGTGATAGCTCACACATCACATCCCAGAATCCCATTCCTAATGCATTCTTCCCTGAGGCAAGAACTTAAGGTCCTCACCTAATTCCTCCATCAAAACCATTAACTCTTATTGGACAAGCTCCTCCTGTGAGTGGGGCCTGTACTCATTTCCTCTTAGATCATAATTCCATCTTCAACAGACTGGTTTCCAGAATAGTAATCTTTTTCCAGTGTTCTATCTTCTCCAATGCCCTGGTTGTTATTTTTCCACCTCTCCTAATACTGATCTTCTTGTCTTTTGGTTAGAACTGCAACTTCGGAGTTCAGTTCATTTCCTATTGCTGCTCAATTCAGTAGCAACATAGCTGGCTTGTTCCCAGGCCCAGGAAATATAAGTCATTGACAGTTTCCTGAGAGGCTTTGCCAATCCATACCACCCTTGGTACTGTGAAAAGACTTCTTAGCAGCCAGGTGGCATTGAGGATGGTATTCAGGGCACTTTCCTTCTGTCATATAGTTGTGGGATCTCTACCAAGTGTGAAGGTGAATGAGGTAAGGGAGATCAGAACCATGCTTCCTGGTTTTTCGTATGTCCAAGGGAGAAGTCCTGGTGTGGGTTGTTTGACCCCTTCTTTCTACTTTCACCTTTTATTTTTTATTCCTTTCTTTCTACCCCCAACCAGCTGAGCAATTTTGTGTTTCTAACACAGGACCTGGGAGTAGTGCTTTCTAATCCTCATTTCCTGTAGGATGCTCCTGCACTATAACAAGATTATGTTTTCTTCCTTCTGTGGCAGCTTTCTGCTTCTTGGGTACTACTAGCTATTGTTGAGTTCCGACGGGGCCTGTGATGACATATATGTGGCATGTGCTCTGCGCTTCCTGCAAGCTAAGCAGATACAACCAGTGCATCACTGTATACTCTCGCTGAGAATGTGGATGCAGCCTCACAGATCTTTGCAACACTCCAACCAGCCAGGACCAGTTGATCAGAACTGATTTTATTAGTCTGCTAACAAATCTTATTTGTGAACTGATTCGTATCTGTCTTTCCACCCTTGGTTCTCTTGCCATAGAACAAAAACAGTTTAGGAAGCATAGTTAGGAACATTTAGGAACCAATATTTATAAGTAATACGGAGACTCTAATTCACCCTCCCCTCCCCACCCCAGGTTGTGGAGGCTCAAGGAAGCTGACTTCTTAGGCTAAAGGACAAAAAATTTCTTTCACCTCCTTTGCCATTTTCATGTTCTCTGCCAATTACTATAGGCAGTCTTCATTTTGCAGAGGTGAGGTAGGACTTCATCTTATTCTTCATCTAATCCCACCTTCTAACAACAACAAAAAAATAACATTTAAATTCCAAGGAGAAGTGTTCTTTGTGTATTTCTAACAGAAAACAGACGCTTAAGCCTAAGAAGGAAGATCCGTCCATGACAAAGGAAAGTGGAAAACTGAACCAGTTATCTGAATACTTCATGCCAGGACAGTTGCTATTAGCAACTGTTTTGCACCTTCAGGGCTTTAAAATGGGCTCTGCAGACAGCATTTGCATATGCAGGACTCAGTAGCCAAGCCTCCACTGCCAGCTGTTGAAGGCAGTTTCAGATCACCACCTTTTGAGGTACATTTCTTTAAGCACAAGAGAAGTGGAAATGGCCTTTGCCTTGTCTCCAGTGGTTTGTCCCTCTGGTGCCTCAGCAGATACCAGAGCTTATTCTTATGACCATTTGGAAATAGTCCTCAAAGTTAAGATCATGAAAAAATTGGATTCTTTTTCCATTTTCTCATAATAGTAGCCTAGTCAACACAAGACTCCCATAAAATATGACTCACTATTGGGAGCCATACTATTTTATAAGCTTACTTCCTGCTGACAAAACTAGCTTTCCTCAAGGAAATATAAAGGAGGGGAAAGTCACGTAGTGTTAGGAAAACATTTCTGTGTTTTGAAAATGATGAATCCATAGGATAGAGAAAAATCTTCTTGTTCTATTCTGAGAGTTCTCTGAGCTATCCCTTCACTCTGCTCAGCATTTGGCCATTGATGTTCAACAGGTCACTGACCAAGCTTTTCTAAATTTTTCAGAGGGAGTTACTTACCAATCAGGTCTGTTCTCAAACCTACCTAGCTGATTTTCATATCTTTCCATAAAGGGTCATGATTTGATCATGGACCCTGACTTAACATTCTAAGGACTATGAATCCTCCATTTTTTTTAATTAATTTTTTTTTTTAAGCAAATTAGGACTTCAGCAGGTTTTCCTCTCCTAAACTCATTCTTTCCTCCACAGGATTGCTTTGCCCATCTCCTGCTTTCATTTCAAGTGCATAAACAAAACCTCAAAGGGCCTGGGAAGGTGAGGCAGGCCAGAGTCTGTGTTCTGTGTTGAGTGTCAAGCTATTTGTTAAGAAGGTCTGCAACAGGCCTTTGGTGTGGGCTCTGCCAGAGACTGTTCTGAACACTTTGCTTGAGATCTGTGCCCTGTAAAATGGATATGATGTTTTACTGATGTCTGTAATACATTTGTAAACTTCCAATAAAATTTGAATAAAAGAAATGGTGCCATTCTTCTCAGTCCTCCTTCACTTTCCAGATATTAGGGGTGGTCTCTGCCTTTGAGCGTTTCAACAAAGTAAAGAAGGGACACAGGTATGGAGGGATGAGTTTTACTGTGAAAGATTAACCTGATTGTTTAAATCGGGATTTCTAAACCTCAGCAGTATTGACATCTTGTGCTGGTTAATTCTCGGTTGCAAAGGGCTGTCCCGTGCATTGTAGGATGTTCAGCAACATCGCTGACCTCTACTCACTAGATGCCAGTAGCAGCCCCCAGGAACTGTGACAACTAAAAATGTCTCCCATCACAAGCATTAGGATGGCAACTATTAACAATAATAACAATTGTGGGTGAGGATGTGGAGCAATTGGAACCCTTGTACACTGTTGGTGGGAATGTAAAATGATGCAGTGCTGTGGAAAACAGGCAGTTCCTCAAAAAATTTAAAAACAGAATTACTACCATATGCTACTTCTGGGCTATACCCAAAAGAATTGACAGCAGGGTCTCCAAAGAGGTATTTGTACACCCATATTCATAGCAGCAGCAATTCACAATATCCAAAAAGTGGGAGCAACCCAAATGTCCACTGATGGATGAATGTGTAAACAAGGTGTGGTGTATACATAAAATGGAATATTATTCAGCCTTAAAAAGGAAGGAAATTCTGACACATGCTACAATGTGGTTGAATCTTGAGGACATTTTGCTAAGTGAGATAAGCCAGTCACAAAAAGACAAGTGTATGATTCCATTTATCTAAGGCACCTAGAGTCAAATTCATAGAGACAGAACGTAGAAGAGTGATTGGTTGTCAGGGACTGAAGGGAGAAGGGAATGGGGAGTTATTATTTAATGGGTATAGAGTTTCATTTTGGCAAGATGAAAAGAGTTCTGGAGACGGGTTGCAGAACAATGCAGACGAACTTGATACTATTGAACTGTACACTTAAAAGTGATTAAGATGGTAAATGTTATATTATGTTTAACCACAATTAAAAATGTCTCCACACATTGCCAATGTCTCCTGAGGGCAAAATTGCCCCTTGTTGAGAACCACTGGTTTCAGTGCATTGCCTTCATAGAATCTTTGTTCCTTGAGGATTCTTGAAACCGATTCCTACCCAGGCCACACACTTAATTTTCAGTTATTAGCAAGAATTGAAACCAGGAGATGACCCAAAAATATTTGTGTTTGCTTTTAAGCAAATAATAAGTGGTCTGTCTGGAGAATTACATCCACGTCTGTGTTCTGGTTAGGGTGGCATTAATGTTGACTGGGAGCCAGGACCAAGGCAGCATGTAAATTCAATTTCCCCGTGTCTCATCCATAACATTAGGGAGTTGCTAGGTGCTACAATATCATCTATGCATTCATTCAACAAATATTTATGAAAGGCTTCCTCTATGTCAGGAACTGTTCTAGGTGTTTAGAATATAACAACGTGTAAAACAAACAAAAATCTCTACCTTAAAGGAGCTTACAAACTTTACTTTCAACTAGGCAAGACATCGGGAACAGTTGTCTTACCCACGGTAACTAATCACTTGGGAGTGGCAGACAACAAGAGTTGTTTCATTCTAAGAGCTTTTGAATAAAAACTTGAGCTGGAAATGGCAATTGTGCCTGCTTTGCTTACAGACCTCTGTAAAGCATGGCCTGCAGGCAACCATGGTTTTTAATATAGAGCCTCCCTCTTTCTCCTCTTCAGCCAAAATGATTGTAGTCAAGTATAGCACCTAACCAGCAATCCTATAAGCATGATAAACCGGACTAATCAGATTCCCTCTCTCAAGAATATAGGCCAGGCACAGTGCTTCATGTCTATAATCCCAGCACTTTTGGGAGGCTGAGGTGGGAGGATCACTTGAGGCCAGGAGTTTAAGACCAGCCTGGGCAACACAGCAAGACCCCCTCCACCCCCGTCTCTATGGGAAAAAAATGAAAACAAAAACCAGTAGCTGGGCATAGTGGTGCAAATCTTTAGTCCCAGGTGCTAAGGAGGCTGAGGCAGGAAGATCACTTCAGGCTGCAATGACTTATGACTGTGCCACTGCACTCCAGTTTGGGTGACACAGCGAGAGACCTTGTCTCTGATAAGATTAAATAAGATTATAAACTAAGAAATTCTGAGAGAATGAGGCAGCTGACAGTGGCAGTGGAAGCTAAGAGAATGTATGAGGAGGAACCAGAAGGTGGAGTCAGGCCTAGGAGCAACAGGGTAAGAGGAAGCAGAAGCAACAGGTAAGCAAAAGTCTAGGCTGAGAGCAGATCCAAGAGCAAAGACAAGAGACCAGAATGGACCCAGAGGAGCTGGTCTTCAGGACTTCCTCACCTCCAAACAGATCCTAGTTCCTGCCCTGGAGGTACCCTTCTAGGGTTACCATTTGATTTTGGTCCCTCACACACCCCTCTCCATTGTGCTTATGTATTGTGACAACACATACCTGTGTAACCTCTTCTTCGGGCTCAAGTGTTCCTTGCAATCTCAATGAAAACATATGAAGGATCCCATATGCACTAAATACCAGTTGTGCACCTTTTATTTTGGCCCCATGTTCCTTTAACATTTTAAATCTCATCTCAACCACTTGCTAGTTGTTGATCTTGGGAAATGTCCATATCCCCTTGAGCCTCAGTTCTTAATCTATTAAATGAGATAATAACAGAAGAGTCTTTATTGGGTTATTGTGTGGATGTACTGGAACAATACTTGTAAAACTCTTAGTGCTACCTGTCATTATAAGAGCTCAAAACACATTAGCTATTGTTATTACTATCATTAGTATTTCTAGTCTACCCAAAGAGAGAGGCTGGCAAGAACTAGATACCAGTGGTATCCAGTCTAATAATGCTCTTATCTTTTTTTTATTATACACATTAAATGGGATTTAGAGATATTCAAGGAAGGCCTGAATCTTCACTATGTGTAAAAAATGCCCACTGAACTTACTGAAAACTCCTCATCCTCCTGAAAGACGTTCTGGTTTGGTGGATCTGAGGTAGAGCCCCAGAATCTGCTTTTATAACAAGGCCCTTTATATCTTTATGATCTAGGTGGTTTGAGAATCACAGCTCAAGAAATTTCTTGTTTTCTTCCAAGTCTCTGAAGCAAATAAATAAATGATGGAGTGTTTTTGCTCCACAGCTTAGGCCTGGGTTCTTGTCTCACCACCAGGAAGGACTGGGTACACACACACTCGAAGAGTGAGTTAGGCAAGAAGTTTGAGTGATGCAACGGCTGTTGGCAGAGAGGGAGGGGATGCAGCAGTGGTCCCCTGAAGGCAGTGGTCCCCTGAACTCACCTGAAGGCAGGAGACTTCCCAATATGACTGAGCCATATCTAGTCTAAGAATGCTCTTATCTTTTTTAAATGTAAGCATTAAATAGGATTTAGAGACATTTGAAGAAGGCCTGAATCTTTACTAGGTGTAAAAAATGCCCACAGAACTTAATGAAAACTCCTCGTCCTCCTCAAAGAGGTTCTGGTTCAGTGGATCTCAGGTTTTTTATGGGCTCAGAATAAGCAGTGCATCCTGATTGGTTTGCGAGCATGCAAAAAAGGTTAAAGCAAAGACACCACTCAAAGGTGGGCATGATAGTATAGAAAACCAATTAGGAAAGGGTAGATATATGTAAAATAAGTGAAGGGTGGGGATCAATCAGAGGAAAGTGGCCAGGCACAGTGACTCAAGCCTATAATCCCAGCACTTTGGGTGGCGGAGGCAGGCAGATCACCTGAGGTCAGGAGTTTGAGAACAGCCTGGCCAATACGGCAAAACCTCATCTCTACTAAAAATACAAAAATTAGCCAGGAGTGGCGGCACATGCCTGTAATCCCAGCTACTCGGGAGGCTGAGACAAGAGCCTGAGACAACCCGGGAGGCAGAGATTGGAGTGAACCAAGATTGCACCAGTGCACTCCAACCTGGGTGACAGCGAGATTCCATCTCAAGAAAAAGAAAAAAAAAAATCAGAGGAAAATGCGCCAAGTGCAAAGGCACGTTCTCAATCCAGTTCGAGGATTTACCCGGGACTATTTCCGGCCAGGAAGGTGGGGTTTTGCTGGAGACCCACCCCTGTCTGCCTCCTGCCCCTACCACAAACAAGCAAACAAAAACACATCCGCTAGTCCCTGATGCTTCAAGAGAACCTAACAATCTTATTGGTCTGAATATAGAGAGTTGAGCCCGTAGCTTCTAGTCCAATTTTAGAGGAGCTGGAGTGGGTTCACTTTTTTTCAGGAATGGCAGTCATCAAAAAAGGAATGTACTTCAACTGGCTTTAATTTTTATGATAGATGTATACCACTGCTGCACTGAAGAAGAGAGTGAGCTTATTGTAAAACACAATCTAACAGTTATGTTCGGATTTGAGAATTGCTACTTGGGCTCAGAGCCAATGGTTTTCACACATCAAAATTAACTGGGTAGATTACGGAAAATTCAGGATCCCTAGCCCCATCCCTAGAGAGTCTGATTCATCAGGGCCCCGGGTCATCACATTTTTCATAAACATTTGGCGATCTAGGGCCACCCCTTTCATCACGGGAAAGCCTTTATTTTCTGTGAGCCCTTGTGTGCTACGGGCTCAGTCCAGTTTGTGTTACAGAGCTTTGGGGTTGAAGGGTCTGCTTCTCAAATACTCATCTGCCCTATGTGTAAAGTAGATACTGGTTTTACTTTTAGATTAGAACGAGAAACATCAGCCCCTTTGGAAAACCCATTCCAGCCTAAATTCTAAATATAGCTAATTTTGACTGAGACAGACATCCAGTCATGAACCTAAGAAGGAAAGCTCGTTAGAAGATGCAATAAATTAATAAAAGCAAACACGGGCTGAAGTTTAGGGGGAAATGGTTAAGCTATTAAATGACACAATTATACCCAGCAGGAGATGAGATGATTTAAGAACTTTCTCAGCAAAATACTAGCACATACTTGTTTCCCCTGCTCGGCTGGCTGATTCTGAAGATAAAACAGGTCATCAGGGCTGATGGA